AAAAGTCTGGGGAAATAGGCTTCGCAATAAAAGACGATGAACCTCTTGTACCGATAGCAATTTACGGGCAAGACAGCGCTGATAACAGGGATGGCATCCCTGTGGGGACGTGTTCGTGGCTGCAAAGCCAGACCGGACACGGGCATAAACTTTTGTTGAGAAGCACGATGACCACTAGACCACTAGTCAGCGCTGACTAGTGGTCTAGCGGTCATCGTGCTTCTCAACAATTGTCATGAACTCGGGTCAGGTGGGGTGCTATCATCAGCTAGCTACAATATGCACCGAAATAAACAACTTTCTGTTCGTTGTCATTGATTTGATCCGTGTGATTCGATCGAAGAACAATCGGTCTGGTTCGAGCTTTGATCCGGGGCAAAACTCAAGAGCGTGTGATTTGTTACCAGGCTAGGACACGAAAGGCACAGGTGGCACCCTAGGCCCTCGCACACAAGTATAGAGATGTTTTCGGCAGTACATGCATCGTCAATGGTAGTGTCTAGCAGCGTGTTGATGTGCCTCTTGTCCTCTCTCTCGCTGATGGCAATAATCGCTGCCGCTCGCAAAACGCACAACAACGCAACCAACGCTTCTTCTCTCCTCTCGCTTCCTCCACCGATAGCTAACAGCGGTATAGTATAGGGCACACCCTCCCGCCTCGCTCTCCCGGTGGTGTGTGTGTGTGTCCCGCCCCCCTTGTCCATGTTCCCTGTCTCTGTGTTGCCTTTGTCTTACCACAGCAGCAGCAGAGATGGTGCTGCTGAGCACACCGCCGGTGGAACAACAAAAATCACGCCTGCCTGGGTTTTTGGGCGGGGACGCGTGAATCCTACATAAATATCAGCACAGATGCTGTGCGATCTCGACGCACCGACCACGGATTGAAAAGTTAGCAGTTGGGACAGCTCGGGCAAAAGCAACTTGTTGTGCACAAGTTATAGATTGCAATTTGGCGCCTAGGCGGTGAAATGGGCTCCAATCTCCCGTGTATTTTTCGCCGCACAGACAGACAGACGCCGGACACTATCAGTGCAAAAGTGCCTCACCCGTGCGGCTTTTGTTGAATTTTCACGTACGTAGATGTACATCACGATCCCTCTAAACAGGGATTTTCTTGCTAAAGCAACAAAGCACCCCTATGGGCCGCTCTTCATCAAAAAAGCTATTAAAACACAGCAGACGGGAAGTTTTTTTCTTTTTCTTTGTCTTCATTTCAAATCTTGTTTTTGATGCAGAGTAGTCCAGCTTTGAAAATCGATCTTGGAGGTGTCGTATCCTATGCGACCTGGAACGGAATATTAAGACTCCCGACTTAAACCGCGGCGTTCTCTAGGTGCAGGGCGGGCTACCTTGGAATTTATGGAGCGTCGGGGAACAATGTGTATGTGCGGCAGCAGTATTGCCGGCATCGTGTTGACGTGCAATACGTTAGTCCGGCTAGCGGTCCGCGATTTGTCAAACGATCCTTCTATCACTGAAATTGGTGAGCTACAAGCAGGATTGTTTAAGCTGCTGTGCGGTTCGATTTTGAAACGCTTCAAGCACACCGTGGACGCGATTCAACTTTACGGAATGTCAGCGCAGCTTTTCTCATACATCCTACTCGTGGCCATAGTCGATTTGAATGCCTGAGGTCATGTATATGTACGTAGGTCCAGCCACAAGCAAAGGTACTTGAAGCGTTTCAGAATCGGAGCGCACAGCATCTTCAAAAGTCCTGCTTGTAGCTCACCGATCTCAATGATAGAAGGATCGTTTGGCAAATCGGGCACCGTTAATCTGTGGTGTATCGCAAGGGCTAAAATCTCAGACACTAACATTGCATAGGAGGGGAGGTCAGCGGACGGTGAATTTGCGGTTGCTATTTTGTACTGGAGGTAGATTTTGGAAAACTCAGACGTGCAGGTGTTTCCTAGAAGTACTGCGTACCCAGTGCCCCCTAAATGACAGGGGGGTCTGTAACGGTTTCACGCTCGACGGAAGCTACCAGAATGGCTCGCTGCTTTTTTGTAAAGCGTGGTCCTGATCGGCACATGCAGTAGACTCCAGGCGATCCTCTCGTGTGAGCAACACTTTCCTTTCTCACCAAAAACTGTCCTGGTCATCGACACGCAATACCTGGCCCTTGCATACCGATCGAACTCGTGATAGATAGTGGCGGCTTTCGTTGAATGAGCACGATACAATTACGGTCTGACAGAGAGTGATTACGGTATTCAAAAATAGCTGTTTCGCTCTGACGTTTGAAGAGGATCAAGTTTCCCCAACGTCCGTCGAGGGTGATTCCCTCACATTGGCGTCGCGGTGACATGTCTGATTTGATGACACAACACAACAAATCTTGGCGCTGTGCACGGGCAGACCTGGAATGCCGGGGAAGGTGTGATACACGAACGTACCCGCAATCCGTCGAGGTCTTGAGGTCTTAACTGAAGAGCTAGTGGGAGAAGATTGGACGCGCGGACGTTAACACCTCGGAGAACACGCGTGAACACCCGTGCGCTCGAAACGACCAGCGAGGTGGTCAAAACGCGTTCCACATCCCATCAATTACAGCAACATCAAGAAAGAGAGTGCCCGCTGCAGCGCCACGCTAGCAGTTGCTCTTCTCCCTACACCGTTTGTGACGTGGCTATGGGCGGCATATGGCCCTCCTCCGTGCCCCTTCCGACGAGCTAGGGTTCGCATATTGCCGTCCCCCACGCTCCTTCTTGCGTGGCTAGGGGTACACGACCATTCGGGTGTGTTCTTTGACTCCGTCATTTCCCGCTGTTGCAATGGTGGCCGTCTGCTATGGTGGCCGTCTCCACCATTTCCTGCGACTGGTGTATTGGACGGAGTGCGCCCGGTATTTCCCGCGACCCTCTTTTTCCTTCCCCTCCCCACATCATGGCGAGGCTGGTGTACCACGACCCTTTTTCCATGCCGCAATCTTTAACCCCCCCTGTGGTGGAATGCGCACCGTGACCCGCGCGTCTTGGCCTTCCCCCGCCCTCCGCTGTACAGCAGGGCTGAGTGCCCTGCCTCGCTGCCATGCCGTACCTTGTCGCATCGTACGCACGTACCCGCGGCTACCACCAGATGGCCTCTACCTCCACGCCCAGTTCCTGGTCGCTGTGCGACATCTCGATTGCTAGCGTGCCTGCTCCGATCCCTCAAGAGTTATCGCAATAGGATATGAAGTCGCTTTCGGGAGGTTAGCCCTAGGCCGACCGGTTTCCCCGTATGTTGCACCGGCAACACCGGTTGCCTCCCCCGTCGCGTCGACCGCCACTTCCGCGACCTTCCCCGACGATATCGCCGTTGCTGCCGTCATTGCCGCCTTCGCCATCGGCGTTGAAATGGCCGGTTGCCGCCGTGGTGTCCGTGTCCATGGCCACGGCAGTTGCGACCAGGTTGTCGCTTGCCACCTTTGTCCTTTTCGTCACGTGTGAGGAAGGCCTGTTCGGCCTTTCGGTGATTGTGGTGGCCATCCCGCTGATCCTTAACCTATTTCTAGGCTAGCGTGCTGCCATTCCTTAGCGCAAGTGATTCCCCCTCCTGATCCAGGGTCCGCGCGGACTGCAACATCATTTTGTTATGGTTGTACTCGGGGCCGCGGGGCGGAGAGGAAGAGTGAGGGACAAAAGGACATCGATGTTGATATTTACCTTCTCATTGTAGCGGTCTGCAAGTTGCTCCAACACGATCAGCGACTCGGTCGATGTCGACAAAGTGGTGCAGTTTGTTGAACAAACCGTCTGGGCTGCCTGTGATGTTGTGTCATATCCCCCGTCCACTTACTTTAGAGCCTTTTTTGCCATCAGGCATCCGGCGAAGACATATTTCTCGGGGTCTTTTACTAGGGCCAAAGACGGAAGGTCTGAGGTGGATTTGTCCTATTGGGTGTAGCCGTCAAGATGCTTTCGGTGTTCCAGCGTCTCCGACAGCACACGGCTCTCTGTGTGACCGTCTAGATCAAGTGTTTTGCAGCTTGAAGAATTGCTCCTCCGTGTGTATTTCCCGTGGTCACGTTGTTCTCCGTCAAGAGGCGGCGCGTTTACTGATGCATGCATTGTTGTTGAAAGGGGTTCTCGAAAACCCGCCTGCTCCTCAGCTGCACCCACCAAGACCACCACCACCTGTTGACTCCAGGAATCTCACGTTGGAGGGATGAGCCCCTGACGTCTCCGCTGGCCGACCCCGTCTCCGGGCCTCTTCCAGGAGGGATCCTTGGTACAAATTGGCTGGCCCCCGGTCTGTTGTTGCCTCCCTCTTGGCTTCGTGTTATGGGCGGCGTGACACTCTCGTCCGGATGCGGCTCCTCCGCCCGTGACGATAGCGCCCACCTTTGTGCTGCCGGACTCCCCGTCCTTTTCTCTCTTTACCAGGACGGCTCGCTGCAGGTTCTACAGCTCATGCACCTTGCCCGAAAGTCTCTTCTATAAGTAGATCGTTGCCCTTCTCTTTCTCACGAGTAGCGTCGGTGGAATCACCGCCAGCGTCATGCCACTCACATTTAACGGGTTTCCTCGAGGAATAAACTCGTTAGTGTACCCTTGTGTGCGTGGACGATTGGAGATTCCGCTTTCCCCGTATACCTCATTTGGTTTGAGTGCCTACTGGCGCTCCACTCTCGTTGTGAAGAAGACCTACTCATTCGTACTACGACGGGGCGGTTTGGGGGTTTGCCCTTTTTCGGTCAACTACCCACCACCACACGCACCGCCATCGTTTCTGCCTTCGTTGGGCTTTCCTTCGTGAACCTTCGCTTATCGCGCACATGTGTGGTTTTTCGCCAACCGGTCTCAGATCGCAACCAGCAAAATGAATGATTTTCCACAACACTCCAGTTACCCCCTTTGAAAATGTCAACGGCCGTTTTCCCTCGATGCAACAAACACTGCTGCTTCCGGCTCATTGTTGGGGGACAGCGTATGGCATGGACAAGAACCCTAATTGTGTATGTATTGTCCTTCTCGTTGACAATTGCCTCCGTGTCGAACTTCCTCAACAGAGTCATGACAAGCACGAGTCAGACACCGATGGCGTCATCAGCAGCTCCGCTGAATGCACCAGGTAAACCTTTTAGAACTGGAAACACCTCCATGCTCTGGTAAAAGCCGTGTTGGGTATTTATGTATTCCCCCAGACGCCCGAAGAGGACCTTGAAAGCGATTGTGACCTTCTTGAGGTCGTCCCGTGGTTGAACTCTTTTGTTTCACTCTCTGTTTCACTCAATGGTTATGTCACCTGCCCGTGCAGAAGCACCGTGCGATTTACGTTGTCAAAAACTTTGACATACATGCCGATGTGCTCTGATCGCCTTGAACAGGCTCGGCGGAGACAGATCTCGAAGTTCTCCGTCACTTTTTTGGAACGACGGGCGGGGAGTCGTGGACACGTCAAGAGGGCTGGGCGGAGAATGCAGACGACCTCGGCAGCTGGTACGGAGTCACGTCGAACGCAGAGGGTCGAGTGGTGAAGTTGGAGCTGCATGGAGAAAGAGATGAGTTTGACATTCCCACCGGCAACAATCTCACCGGTGAGACCAGGGAGAACGTAAGCGAGATAAGTTTCTATCGACCATCTCATGGGCTTCAGCACATCTGTTTATCTCTCCATGTTCCATGGGCAGTCAATAAAAGTGTACTGGGGCCTGTTCATGGTCTATGTCTACAGCGTTACAGAAATTGCAAATGTGGCGTTTAGCTGTTGGTGTGGATTCCACAAATGATGCACCGTTCGTTCACTAGAACCGCGGTTGGCGAAACCGGTTCTTGCGTTCGTCTCCCAGGCGTACCTCCCGTCGATGACCACGTATGTCTTGCCCAACCGTGGTCCTCGTGGATTTATACACTTGCTTTATTCGGGTAAGGTGGTTGGGTTGCTACGAGTGTGCACATCGTTCGTTGCTTTATTGTTCTGGACGTTGTGCGATCTTTTTGGAGTATCACGAGTCGTCGTCTTGTGATCCTGCCGTGTGGAGGTGTCACGATGCCTAGACGCCTGTAAACGGATGATGGGCCATTGTTCCACCGTTCATGTTCTTTCTTCTGCTTCAGAGGAGTTGTGTGTAATCGGTTGCCATCTCGTTCTTGTGTCGTCTACCGCACCATTCGCGTACAACACTAGCGTTGCAGCCGGGTCAATTGTTGCTGAGGATCTGGGCCGGATATGTTGGTATGTGTTCTTGCTGGTGCTGTTTTCAGGTTCCATACCGCCGGAGCTTGGTGAACTCGGTGCTCTTGAGGTACTGGATCTTTGCTGGAACAATCTCTCCGGTAAGCAAGGCCAGTGCACGCATGGGTCACAGGTTGGGCCACAGGTTGGCACGCATCCTTGGCGATTGTAAACCTCGTGTTTTGCAAACGACAAAGATCATGCGGACATTGTCTTGAGGCGTTGTCGTTGGGTGTGGTGAGCCATCTGGTGGTGTATAACAGAGGCGTGGCGAGGTATATGGGCGTGGTGCTCTGGAGGCGCTTGGACAAGCAAGATATTTCTTCGCCTCGAGTGCATGAGACTGTGTAGGTTATGTGTGATGACTACGATACTTGTCTAGACTGACGAGTTGTTGCCAACCTTCCGACCTCAAGATGCATTATGGAAAGAAGGAGGGTGTCACGGTGTGAATGTGAGGTGCGATTGACGAACATTGGACAGATGCATGCCGTTGAATATGTTATCCTTCGGCACTCATGTTTTTTTGTCGTGCTTGCCAATTCGATGAGTCCGAGTTCGCGTTTGGACCGTTGTCGGTGAACCTCAAACCTTCAACTGTGTGACGGCCCTCGAGTCGAACGCCAGTTTCGGCAACTGATGCTGCTCGCCATGATCCCGCAAGACCGTGCTCCGGGTGGATTTCTCTGAAGTTGGAGCCCATGGTTGTGGTCTAGTCGTTGGACGACTTGCGATGTTGTCGGAGTATTGAGTATAGTCGTGCTGGGGGCGCTCCTTGTGGAGTTGTCACGAATCCTAGCCTCCTGCAATCGGGTAATGGGCGATTGTTGCTCTCTACCCTTCGTGTTCTCTCTACTGCTTCAGAGGAGTCGGGGCATTTTCGGTCGCCACTGTCGTTGTTATGGCTTCTACCGCACCATTCACTCACAACACTAGCGTTACAGCGGGGTTAATTGTTCCTGGGGATCTGGTCCGGATATGTTTGTGTGTGTTGTTCTTGCTGGCGCTGTTTGTAGGTGCCATACCGCCGGAGCTTGGTGGACTCGGTGCTCTCAAGGTGCTGAATCTTCGCAGTAGCAGGCTGTCCGGTAAGCAAGAGTAGTGTTTTCATGGGTGACAGGTTGGGGTCACAGGTTGGCTCGTGTCTTTGGCGGTTGTAAACCTCGTGTTTGGCCAACGCCGAAGCGCGTTCGGACATCGTCTAAGGCGTTGTCGTTGGTTATGGTGAGTCATCGGGGTGTGTGTGACAAAAGGCGCACCGAGATGGATGGTGTGTGTGTGCGTGGTGTTCCCCAGGCGCTTGGTCAAGCAACCTAATTCGTGGCTCGAGTGGATGAGACTGTGCAGGATATGCTTGGTGACTACGATACTTGTCTAGGCTGACGAGTTGTCGCCAACCTTTCGACCTCAAGGTGCACTATGGAAAGAAGGAGGGTGTCACGGCGTGAGTGAGAGGTGCGATTGACGAACGGTGGGCAGATGCATGCGGTTGAATATTGTTCTTATGGGTCCCATGTTTTTTTGTGTCGTTGCTCGCCGCTTGGATGAGTCCGAGTTCGCGTTTGGACCGTTGTCGGTGAAACTCAAAACTTCAACTGTGTGACGGCCCTCGAGTCGAACGCCCATTTCGGCAACTGATGCTGCTCGCCATGATCCCGCAAGACCGTGCCCCGGGTGGTTTTCTCTGTTGGAGTCCACGGTCGTGGTCTAGTCGTTGGACGACTTGCGATGTCGTTGGAGTGTTGGGTGTGGTGGCGTTGTGGGCGTTCCTTGTGGAGCTGTCACGAAGCCTAGCCTCGTGCAAACTAATAATTGGCAATTACGCTTGTGCGCCCTCCTTGTTCTCTCTGTTTGTTCAGAGGAGTTGGGGCATTTTGGCGTACAACACTAGCGTTGCAGCCCGGTCAATTGTTGTTCAGAATCTGGCCCGGATATGTTTGTGTGTGTTGTTCTTGCTGGTGCTCATTGCAGGTGCCATACCGCCGGAGCTTGGTGGACTCGGTGCCCTCGAGAAGCTGCGTCTCAGCAACAACCAGCTCTCCGGTAAGCAAGACCGGTGTTCGCATGGGTGACAAGTTGGGGTCACAGGTTGGCTCGCGTGTTTGGCGGTTGTAAACCTCGTGTTTGGCCAACGCCAAAGCGCGTTCGGACATTGTCTTAAGGCGCTGTCGTTGGTTATGGTGAGCCATCGGGGTGTGTGTGACAAAAAGCGCACCGAGATGGATGGTGTGTGTGTGCGTGGCGTTCCCCAGGCGCTTGGTCAAGCAACCTAATTCGTTGCCTCGAGTGGATGAGACTGTGCAGGATATGCTTGGTGACTGCGATACTTGTCTAGACTGACGAGTTGTCGCCAACCTTTCGACCTCAAGATGCGTTACGACAAGGAGGGTGTCACGACATGAGTGTGCGGGGCCATTGACGAACGGTGCGCAGATGCATGCGGTTGAATATTGTTCTTACGGCACTGGTGTTTTGTGTTTCGGCTCGCCGGTTCGATGGTGTGTTCGGAAAGTTGGTGTGAAAACCCCACAATTCCAATTGTGTGATGGTCCTCGAGTCGAACGCCAATTTCGGCAACTGATGTTGCTTGTCATGAACGTGCATGACCGTGTCCCAGGTGGTTTTCTCTGAACTTGGAGCCAATCATTTTCGTGTGATCTAGTGACGGGATGTGTACCGCCTTGGCACATGGCTGCACGAGATTGACGTTTGCACTAAGTTTGTGTCGCGCTCGGCCAGCGTGGTCGGGAGGTACACAGTTGTGAACGCTTTTCCGACGTTCAGCGGACTTACCTTGCGAGAGCATGGAAAGTGTTGGCGATGTCATGGAGAAGGGTAAGTGGCTCTCTCGTCTCTCATTATCTAGGTAGGCACCTAGATGCGGAGATGCATAGCCAGGATGGGTAGGGTAAACCTGGTTGGCCGACCGTTGTACAACCATTAACGGACACACCATAGCATGTGGAGGGCAGGGTTCGATGAGGTGCAGGTTGATGTGGTCCATATTACTTGTGCGCCTGTCGTCTCGCTTGCATGCAGGCGCGATTCCATCGGAGCTGGGTCAGCTCGGGGCTATGAAGAAGCTCAAGCTTTGGAGGAACAGACTAACCGGTGAGTAATTGCAAGCCAGCCTTGATCGGTCGGTGCTTTCGCTGCCAAAGGTTGCCCAGTTGCAACGTGGGTAGTCTGTATAGTTTTGGTGGAGTATCCGACAGCTGCTCCCTTGGCTGTCGAATTTGTTGTCGTCTACTGGTCTCATGGCGCAATACGAAAGTTTGCTGGTCGTGAAGTGTGCCAAGGAGATGCACGAGAGACTGATGACAAGGATAGCACCCCGAATCCAGTGGATCCACCTGTCACAACGGGTATGGTCCACCCTTTCTGGCATTTGGTGGTCGAGCCATGGGTAGGGCCTTCGTCCAATGCACACCTCGATGAGGTCGTTAACCCGTCGATTCGGCTATGGCGATGCGGGGGCTTACATCTGAATCAACGAATTGCATGTCAAGCGGTCTTGCCTGGTCATGGCGTAGTCGTTGGGTGATTTGCGATGATGTTGGGTTGTTGGGTGTGTTCGTGTTGTGGGCGTTCCTGGACTTGAAAGATGGGCGGTTGTTCTTGTGCACCCTTCTTGGTTCTCTCTAATCGGAGGAGTTGGGGCGTTTTTGGCCGCCAATTTTGTTGTTACGGCCTCTATCGCGTCTTTGACAGCCTCACGCTGGTGTTGCAATTGGGTCAGTTCTTACTGATGACGTGGTCCGCATGTGGTGGTGTGTGCTCTCGCTGGTGCTCTTTGCAGGTGTCATACCGCGGGAGCTTGGTGGACTCCGTGCTCTTGAAGTGCTGGATCTTCAAAACAACAGGCTCTCCGGTAAGCAAGATCACTGTGCGCACGGGTCACCGGTTGGCTTGAGCCTCGGTTGTAAACCTCGTGTTTGGCCGACGCCAGAAAGCCGGTCGACGACGCGTTCGGTGTGGTGAATCATGGGGTGGTGCGTGGCAGAGGCGTGCCGAGACGGATGTTGTCTGTGGGCGTGGCGCTCTCCAGGTGCTTCGACAGTCAACCTTTTCCTTGGCCTCGAATGGACGAGACTCAGCAGGTTATGGTTGATGGCTGCGATACTTGTCTAGACTGAAGAGTTGGTGTGAGGTGCGATCGAGGAACGGTGGGTAGATGTTGCAGTGGAATTGTTTTCCTAGGCTGTAGTTTTATAGTGTTCCTCGCTGTTTTTTATAAGTCATCGCCGTTTCGTTGAGTACATTCCGCGTTCGTAGCGTTGGGGAGACTTATATACTCAAATTGTGACCGGCGTATTGTTGTCGTCTACTGACTTCATGGTGCAATACTACGGTTTTCTTGTCGCAAAGTGTCGCGGCAAAAGCGACGCCGTCTGCTAAGGCAAGGAACACCCAGAATTCAGTTAATCCACAAACACAACGGGTAAGCTCTGCCCCCTCTGGCGCCGGTGGTCGAACCATGGGTAGGGCTTTCGTCCACTGCACACCTCGAGGAGGTCGTGAACCCGTCATTGCCGCTACGGCCAGGCGGGGACTCACATCTGAATCAACGAATTGCATGTCAAAAGGGCTTTTCATGTTAGTGTCCTTTATAGTCTTGAGACGACTTGCGATGTTGTGGAATATCAGATGTGGTCGTTTTGTGAACGGTGAGTAGGTGTCACCAATCCTACGCTCCTGCAAGTGGGTGATGGACGTTTTTCTTGGTGACCCTTCTTGTCTCTACGCTTTTGCAGAGGAGTTGTGCATGTTTCGGTCGCCAGTTTCGTTGTCATGGCCTCTATCGTATTTGAAAATCTCAAGCTGGCGTTGCAACCGGGTCAGTTCTTGCTGTTGATGTGGTCCGCGTGCCGTCGTGTGTGTTGTCGCTGGTGCTGTTTGCAAGTGTGATACCCCGGGAGCTTGGTGGACTCGGTGCTCTTCAGAAGCTGGATGTTAACTTCAACCAGCTCTCCGGTATGCAAGCCAAGTGTTCGCATGTATCATAGGTTGGGGTCACAGGTTGGCTCGCCTGTCGATTGTGAACCTCGTGTTTACGCCGGGGATCGTGTGGACGTTGTCTTGAGTCGTGGTCGTTGGGTTTGGTGAGTCATCGGGTGGTGTGTCACAGCGACGTGCCGAGATAGTGTGCCTGGCGCTCGCCAGGCGCGTGGACAAGCAACGCAATTCTAGATACTAGGCAGGTTTGGTTGCCTAGGCTAAACACTTGTGGCCAACCTTACAACCGCAAGAAGCACGACGACAAGATTAGTTCCACGGCGTGAGTGTGAGGTGCGATTGACGAACTGTGAGCAGATTCATGCAGTGGAATTGTTTTCCAGCGGCAGTGGTGTTTTTCAAGTGTTTTTGCTCGCCGCTTCGATGAGTCCGATTTCGCGTTCGGAAAGTTGGTGAGTCTCAAAACTTCAATTGTGTGACGGCCCTTGAGTCGAACGCCGATTTCGGCAACTTCGAATGCTTGTCGCGAACGTGCGCGACCGTCCCGCGTGGGTTTCTCTAAACGTGGGGCCAATCATTTTCGTGCAAGTTTGTGACGGGGCGTGTACCGCCTCGGCACATGGCTGCACGAGATAGGCGTTGCCGTTAAGTGTTCGTCGTGAATGGCCAGTATTGACAGTTATAAACGCTATTCCAACGTTTAGCGGGGTTACCTTTCTGGAGATCGCGGAAAGCGATGACGCAGTCGTGGGAAAGGGCAAGTGGCTCTCGCCTCTCTCATCATCTAGGTAGGCACCTTGATGTGGGGATGTGTAGCCCAAACCACAATGAACAGGATAATGCTAATCCTTTTTCGCCGAGAGGCGTACAACCGTCAGCGGACACACCATGGCTTGTGGAGGGCAGGGAGCCGGTTGCATGAGGCACAGGTTTATGTAATTCAAACACCTTGTGCGCCTGTTGTCTTGCTTGCATGCAGGCGCGATTCCATCGGAGCTGGGTCAGCTCGGGGCCATGAAGGAGCTGAGACTTTCGATGAACGGCCTAACCGGTGAGTTTAAGCAAGTGTTTTTTTTATGAGGTGATGCATTCGCTGCCATTTTGCTGTTAGGCTGGCGGCGTGAACGGTCTGTTTCTACAGTTTTGATGGAGTATCCAGCAGCTGCTTGTTTCCCGGCGTGGGGTTGTCGCCTACTGCCCTAACGGTGCAATACAAACGTTTGCTGGTCGCGAAGTATACCAAGAAGAGTGGCATAAGCGACCCGTCTGCCAAGACAAGGAAAGCACCCCAAATCCAGATGATCCATGTGTCACAACAGGTATGCTCTGCCCCCTCTGGCATGTGGTGTTGGTGCCATGTCTAGGGGCTTTGTCGACTGCGCACCTCGATGCGGTCGTGACCCGCTGTTTCCGCTACAGCCATGCGGGGGCTCACATCTGAATAAACGAATTGTACGTCAAACGTGGGAAATCGTCGTGAAGGTGTCACGAAGCCTAGCCCCCTGTAAACGGATACTTGGCAGTTGCTCTTGCGTCCTTCTTGTTGTCTTTTTTTCTTCAAAGGAGTTCGCGTAGTTGGAAGCCTCACGCTGGTGTAGCATCCGGGTCTCTTCTTGCCGATACTGTGGTCCGTGTATTGTGTTCTCGCTGATGCTGCTAGCAGGCGTCATACCGCGGGACCTTGGTGGACTCCGTGCTCTTGAGACGCTTCATCTCAGCAACAACCAGCTCTCCGGTAAGCAAGACCGGTGTTCGCATGTGTCACACGTTTGGGTCACAAGTTGGCTCGCGTTCTTGTTGGTTACCAGCCTTGTTGGATGTAAACTTTGTCGGTTATGAACTTCGTGTTTGATCACCGGCAAAGAGCGTACGGACATTGTCTTGGTGCGTGACCGTTGGGCCGTTGGGTTGGGTGAATCATGAGGTGGCGTGTAACAGAGGCGTGCCGAGATGGATGTTGTGTGTGGCCGTGGCTCTCCCCAGGCGGTTGGGCAAGCAAACTAAGTCTTTGCCTCGACTGCATAAGACTATGCAGGTTTTGGTTGGTGACTATGATACTTGTCTAGGCTGAACAGTTGTCGCCAACTTTTGGACCTCAAGATGCACCATGACAAGATCAAGGGTGTCACCGCATGAGTGTGAGGTGCGATTAACCATCGGTGGGCAGATGCATGCAGTGGGTGTTGTGTATTATAGTATTCTTCTAGCCGCTTCGATGAATCCGATTTCGCGTTCGAGGAGTTGGTACGTCTCAAACCTCCATTTGTGTGACGGCCCTCGAGTCAACCCCCAATTTCGGTAACTGAAGTTGCTTGTCATGAACGTGTGTGACTGTGTCCCAAGGTGGCGTTCTCTAAACGTGGAGCCAATTATTTTCGTGTTTTCTTGTGACGGGACGTGTACCGCCTTGGCATATGGCTACACGAGATTAGTGTTGGCATTAGGTGTTGGTCGCGCATGGGCAGCTATATAGCAGGGTTTCACATTTGTGAATGATACTCCGATTTGTAGCGGTATTACCTTTCGGTATAGTGCAGAAACTGATGACGCGGTCGTGGGGAAGTGCTCTCTTTGTCTCTCATCATGTCGGTAGGCACCTAGTGTGGAAAGAGTTCTATTTACGGTCTGTTAGTGACGATTTAGGTCGGGTCGGATGTTGAACCTAGGCTCCGCACATGGACACGGTGGCCGAACCAACCCAACCTAGCCCTAACCCTCACCCACGGCCAACTGCCGCGAACTGGCCGAGAACGCGGCTGCGCCACGTTGTCAGATTGCGGGACAGAAAGAGGGCGCGGGAGAGTAGCCTACCGCCCGAACCAACGCTCGACCAATCAGAGGACGTAAAAGCCCGTAGATGCAAAGAATCACGAACAGACGGAAAAAACTCCTGAGCCCAAACCAAGATGGACAAGGTTATCCTTTGTCGCCGACAGCGATGCAACCATTAGCTGACACGCCATGTTTTTTTCCAGGACAGCGAACTATTTGCGATGAGGTGTAGGTTTATGTGGTCCAAGCAACTTATGCGCCTGCCGTCTTGCTTGCATGCAGGCGTGATTCCATCGGAGCTGGGGCTCCTCGGGGCTTTAAAGTCACTAAGACTTGCGCGCAACAGCCTAACGGGTGAGTTTTAAGCGTGTCCCGTTTTAGCCCTTCGCCACCATTTGTTGCTAAGTTGGCAGGCTGGACGGTTTGTTTCTGCAGTTCTGAGGAGTATCCAGGAGCTGCATTGTTTACCCGCATAAGTTGTTGTCTACTGGCCTCGTAGTGTAACGCGAAAGTTTGCTGGTCGCGAAGTGTACCAATAAGAGCGGTATGAAAGACCCCGTCAGCCAAGGCGAGTCGAACACGCGGAATCCAGTGGATACACAAGTCACAACGGGTGCGCTCCGCCCCCTCCGGTCGCCGGTGGTCGCGCCATGGGAAGGGCCTTCGTCCACTGCACACTCGAGGAGGTCGTGAACCCGTCGTTACGGCTACGGCCATGGGGGGGTCTCACATGCGAATCAACATTTTTTTATGTCAAAAGGTCTTTACATGCTCGAGGCGAAGTAGTTTGGACGACTTGCGATGTTGTTGGCGTATGAGGCGTGATGTTGTTGCGGGCCTTCCGTGTGTAGGTGTCACCAAGCCTGACCTCCTGCGAACGGGTGATGGACGGTTGTTCTTCGTCACCCTTCGTGTTCTCTCTGTTTCTCAAGAGAGGTTGTGTGTCTTTCGGTCGCCAATTTCGTTGTTGTTCCCTCTACCGGGCAGTTGGAAGCCTCACGCTGGTGTTTGCAGCCGGGTCAACTTCGGTGATGCTTTGGTCCGTGTGTGTTCATGCTGGTTCTCTTTGCAGGTGCGATACCGCGGGAGCTTGGTGGACTCGGTGCTCTTGAGAAGCTGGATTTTGGTTGTAACAAGCTCTCCGGTAAGAAAAACCAGTGTTCGCGTAGGCCACAGGTTGGGGTCTTATATGGCCGGCGTCCTTGCCGGTTGTAAACCTCGTGTTTGGGCAACGCCAAAAAGCGTTCGGATATTGTTATGAGTAGCTGTCGTTGCGTGTAGTATGGCATCGGATTGCCGTCCGAGCGTCGTTTCAGAGGCTTGCCGATATTGTACGTGGGGGTGACGCTCCCCTGGCGCGTGAACGAGCAAGATATTTCTTTGCCTCGAGCAGATGATACTGTTTGCTGTTGTTGCTGTTGTGGCCTTTTCAGCTAAAATCTTCCTGAACTTCATCCTATCATCTTTAGTGCTCAAGGTTGGGAATATTTTCGCAGGCTACATCCCGACTAAGGCTGGCTTACGGCAGGACACAAAGAAATGACAATAAAAAAACACCTATGGACGCGCGAAAGAAAAATGTGCTATCATAAACAAACCGAGAACGCTCACAGCTCACACGAAGGTAAAGTCCATTGCTCGGACTTGAAGACTGCTTGAAAAGTAAACCACTGAGGAGTACCGATATCAAAATGCAAATCGTCTTGTCAAGACTCAGGACTGTTTTGGTTTCCTTTGGGTGACCAGGACGGCCTCCTTCAGTCGGAAGCTCCAAACGACACGATTACGATTGTTTCCGGCGAATCACCGTCTCGAGATGTCATTGCATCCACCACCTGCTACTACCTCAGTCGACCTCGAGAGTTTTGAGCCCGATTTGTGCCCTTTGCGGTAGCCTACGCGGAGGCGGTGTTTGACCCTTTTGACCCCCGTCCGAAGCTGAGATGACTACAAACGGTGTACCGGGGGGGTTGGGTGATGCGAAACGGTACAAAAGCATTTGACTGGGGGACCCCGAGGGCCCACGCTGATTGGCTAAGACCACCGAGTGCCGTTTCCTGGCGGCTCATGCGGAGATGCCGCGACCAGGCTGCTCGAGTGGGCAACCAACCGTTTTCTGTCGACCCGCTCGCCGTTTACTGTCGCCAAAATATGGAAGGGCTCAAGGCAACCTCAACCACGAGTTAACTGAACAGCTTGCGTTTTTCAGGCAGCATACAACTATGATAGTACCACCACATGCAGAGCGAGCACAGGAATGTGCATCTGTTGCGTCCTCCCGCATACACAGCTGGTTGAACTGTGATGTAAGGTGAATGGTTTTGCCTGCATATGTCTCTGCGATTTGTGTCTTTTCGGAAGAAACCAGGGGTCGGTGTGTGGTTGTGTGAGTGAGGAAGATTGATCTGTGGATACACATGGCGCACGCGAGGCAGCGGCGGCGTCCATATGTACCTATACAGTGTTTTTGTGATGAGCACCTGCTGGCATCACTGATAAAACCTTTTCAGTGTATAGGCTTTAACATACTCGAAGTATGCCCAGCACCCAGCCGGTTTCCCTCCATTCACTGCAAAGACCCCAACACATCCCCGTTCGACTGTGGTTATATCTCGAATGGGTAGTCTTTCTGTGTTTGTATTTCTTTTTCCTAAAAGTTTTGTTTAGAACGCGGTTCAGTGCTTTGCGCGGTCAGAGCACCGATCAGGTGGAAGATGTCTAAGAGCCTCCGTGTGTTGCAGTGTTGATGTTGTTGGTGGACTCTAGGAGTTGGTTCTATCATGATGACCGATTTAGGGTTTTTAAGTGGTGAGATGATTTGTTTTTTTCTGCACGCTCGTGCCCGGAGTACACGCGCTCGCACAACCTACTGTACCGCCCGCGCACAATGCCGGAACCAGGATTACGCTTACGTGTGACTTACGGCCACAACCCCCCCGCGGTGATAGAGAATGAGGTTGTTCTCTGTGGTGCCCGAGCATGTGTCGCGCTAGGCTCGACGTTTTCCCTTGACTCGTGCCCTGGCTCCGCGACTCTATTGGCTGGCTGCGTTTTGTTATATTTGGTAATGTTTGTTTGCTTGATAGCTCTCTGGGACCACACCCAAAACGTCCAAGACATCGGCCACGACGAGGGCACTCAACGTATGTCAGGTACGCCTACATTGAGCAATGCATGCAAGCGGTGTGTTCCTCGAGGCAATCAGTCACTGTCGGCCTGCGAGTGGGTCAACGTGTATTCGGCTAGCTTTGTAATACATTGCTGACGAACGGGTGTACGTCGTGCTGGTTATCCTCCATGCCGGCATGCTAGATTGGGATTTCTCAGCTCACCAGGGCTGGTCTTGGGAGTTTTTCTTGTGAGGAACAAATACACAGGTCGTCAGGCGGGTGCAGTCTCTATTGGGTATATACATGAAGTCCCTGATACATCACACGCACCATCCTGTAGCATATATTTCGACCCGAGGTTGACGCGGGAAGACCGTCGGAGGTAGTTCGTCGAGGTTTCACTGTTCACCTGCCGCAGCTGCACTGCCTCGTTCGGTAACACCTCAAATTCGTCGACGATCCCGAATCTACCATGAGGAAGGCTAGTAGGATTCGTGGTGATTGCGAACATTGCCAGACGGTAGCTTGTTGCTGGAGCCTCTGCTCTATGTGGTCGTGGTCACCTGGTGACTCGAGCGACGATATTCATCACTTCATGTGCATGCTCTATGTTACTTGGTAGGTGGGCCCATGCCTAGCCAGCTGTGCCGGTTGCTTGACGTCCTAGATGATGTTCAACAAGGAAAGTTTCAGTCGCTCAAGCTCGAAAACAACCCCTGGGCTGAGCCCCCAGAGTCTATCGTGGTCAAAGGCCCAAAGGCTGTCAGAGGCTATTTCGAAGACCTGTATGCTGAGCCTTGCAGGATCAAGCGCAGCAGCGTCAAGGTTGTTCTTGTCGGGCAGGAAGGCGCAGGGAAAACGAGGTCAGTGATGCGACGTCCTGCTGTTGGCAACTACTGCACTCGCACCAGATATGTTTGACCGCGCTCGTTTGACACAGCAATCGGTATTTAACAGAGTGGTATCAGATCAACTTTGATCGACCATGGTCATTTGTAGTGTTTTTGCAACAGAGAACGTTTTTTTGTTCACAGCGGGTGGTAGCCACCTGCCTTTTCGTGTTGGAGCTTTCCCACATAGCTCTGATTTTGTTGGCCTTGTACCTTGATTGTGCGTGCGATCACACCCCTCTTAGACCGAATTTGATCTGTCGATTGCTCCAAATCCGACAACCGACCGATTCGTCTCTCAGGAAAGGTTGCGATCCAAAGTTTCGAAACCAAACTTTTCGGCACAAGGGGCTCTCTTGGCCGTGGAGCAACCGAGTGATGAAAATTGGCCTGGGGAGGGTGCGAACACTCGCACCTTCGCGGTTTTCTTGCGCATTTTGCTTCCCAACTGATGGTCTTGAATATCACGTGGAACAAATTGTTGTCGGGCACAACATGGAACCAATGCCATTTGCTCTTGCCGTGCATGGGCATGCTTTCGAACGTTGATTCTCCACAACCAACAGTGGTGTCTGGAACATTTTTTGCCCAAACGACCCTTTTGCGGCATGCTCTCCATTATGTGTTGGCGGGTACTCGCGTCTACCTCTTGCAGCTTGCTCCAGAGCATGAAGGCCAATGAAGCGACTCCTACTGGCGAGTGGAAGGAGGAGAGCACGGTTTTTGCTGACGTGGAGGCGATGGAGCTAGAAGGCTCATCCGTTCGGGTGTACGACTGCGCTGGGCAGGTAACACGTGTTGTTCATACCGAAGTTTCTGAAAGGGTGCCCGACGGAGGCCTTACGCGAGACCGTCGTCCAGGAGCACTCGCTCTCCGCCCGTCGTGCGAGTATCCTAGGTCTAGGTGCACCGAGTGTTGCAAGTCGATCGAAATGGTGCATTCAAGAGCGCTTCCAGTTGGTCATCCCCAATGAGCGGTACCTCGCGCCTCACTGAGCAAAGTCGAGTACCTGGTACCTGGTACATGATATCGTAAACTACATGACTTGGTTCCACCACCCTGTCGAACCCATGGGGGGTGTGTGGCCGCGCGGAATTCGGTTCTCACTTCGGTGTACAGTATGACCAAAAATGGGGAAGGGAGAGAGGGGCCGACGCCGTTTTGGTGGGATACTTTGGCCGCCCCCGAACCTACACCAACAACCTGGCCGCTTTCGAAGGCAGTGAGAAGCCCCCGCTTGTGTTTGTGTCGAGCGCCCTGGTAGAGAAGACGCACTGTTACTATGGTGCCTTGTCGTCTTGTTGGGGGTTGCCGCCACGAGGTACACAGTCAGAACCTTACGGGGGAGTGGGCACAACGGTGTTGTTGCTCTGGGGCGCATTGTTCGAGAATTTGCATGGTTGTATTTTGTACGGTTCGTGGCGTAGGTGAGAAAGAGGTGTTCACGCCTTGCTTACACAACACAAGCTTGGAGAAAGTCACATGTTCAGGAAATGGACCTGCATATTTTTAGATCATGCCGTGGGGCGTTGATACGTCCACCAACGTTTGGCAAGGGATAGGAGATGTTTACAGCTCATTCTAGCTTCCGAATTCGGAGGTGGCTCGGGCCTTGGAGCTCCTAAGTAGAATGGCTTCGTGGGATCTCGCGGAGGCGCAGTCCTCATGGATGAGAGGCCACACACAAGTCGATGTTTCATGTGTAGCTCACACAACGCACGTTCGGCAGGTTGCCTACACAGGGCTGCTGCAGATGTTCTTGACGCCACGAGCGGTTTGCGTGCTCGTGTGCAACGCGGGGGAGTTCGGACAGCAGACCGGCAGCGAAAGCAATGATCAGGTTGGGGAAGACTGTCGCAAGCTGGAAGAGTTGCGCATATGTGATTGGCTGCGATCAATATCTCGACGCGTTCCCAACAACGACGTCATCCTTGTCGCCACCAAGTGTGACCTGGCGGGCGGAAACGCTGGGAAAATTGGCTTAAGAATGGGGCATGCCTGTCGGAGGTGGCTGTCGAGCTGGGCTCGCAATGGTATGCAACCCGTTCGGTTGGAGCCCTGCGTTTCCCTCACGAGCTGCTTGGCGACAGGAGTTGGTGAGCATGACGAGAGTAGCACTGGGAACCACGTGTCGAAGGGGGGTTGGGCGTGCGACTGGCGAGACATGGCAGACGGTAACCCCTTGCCCAGTTTGCTTCACCGGCTCGTCAACAAGCCTGACGGATGTGGTCTCCGAGGAACGCAGATGGTGCTTCCTCGCAGCTGGGATATTGCCCTCACTGTTCTGGAAGCCCTTGAGCATGGAAGGTGGGCTTGATTTCGGGTTGACGCTTCGGCTCTACAGCGACTTCGGGACATTCGTACGCGGAACCAGGGGGGCTTGTGGACACGTATGCTTGCTCACCTGGGTTGGGCGTAGAAAACCGAACCCCCATCTAGAGGGGAGTTCGCGAAACCCCGACTGAAACGCGGACGAAAACAGACAGATGACATGGGGTAGACGAGTTCGTTTCGTTCATGAACGTGTTTTTGGGTGCCTATCGCGGGTGAACAAACCAATCAGTTCTCCGTTGTTGGAGGTTCTTGCGCACCATAGCACCGTTGCTTGGTCAAGAGCGCGAAAGCACGATCCACACATCGCCAGTACACCCAAACACCCCGCTAGTGCAACACGGAAGAACCGGAACGCCATCTAGACCTCTGTGGCAAAGTGTAAACTAGTCTTTCTGGGTTCTGCACGCAAGGCTGCCGACATAAAGAGTGGGGCCTGCGTGCTGTGGATGTATTCGGAGGTTACCAAGGATTACGATGGTGCCACGCTGAACAGAAGCCCATCAACCGCGCGTTGCTGTTGCTTTTGTCATGGTCTTCACATTGCAACACCTGTGGTGGCCTCTATTAAGTACCTCTCTTTCGCGCTCGTCATGGCGACGAAACGAAGTGCTTAAGCCTCAATGTAATCTTTCCTAGGGTTAAATTAAAACGGACCCAGAGAAAATCCCGCCGCTCGCGGGGCATTAAAAAATATCCAAGCATGAAGACAAAAAGTTCAAGGAGGTAGCAGGTATGCTATTCGTAGGGCAATCAAAACTCCAAAGAGGAAGCAGAGCCAATTGCTTCATCTCGAAGCTAAGTCGAACGATATACCGTACGGTTAAGCCTACCGAGTGGGTCAGCTGAGAAACAGGGAATCGCGAGCGAATCAACCCCGCCCACCTCCCGTCGACTTGGCGTTGTCGATTGTGGGGCCTAAATGCCCTTTCGTGTCCACACGAGTGGCCCTCATTTGAACTATCGTTGACGTTGGGTCTGCTTCACCTGTACTAATGGCCCGTACCGTCCATACGTATGGGTGCAATCCTCGAACACTGGGTGCTACGAGCGCCGAGTACTTGCCTTGTTGGGATATGCCAAGTGCCCTCTACCCCGTTATCATTTTATCGTTTTTTGCCCAGAGATCCTGTGGAAGTGGTACTGCGCAAGTTGCCCGACGCCGACAGAGGAGACGCGACGGAAACGGCAAGAGGCGAAACAGCCATGTATCAGGGGATCACGGTCGAGGACCTCAGCATCAAATGGCAGAAAACAGTTGACGGACTTGAAAGGCGTGGAGTCACGGTCACAATCGCCAAGAATGCTTTGGAGGGAGCTCTCTCAATCAGGTACAAAAACATATCACATTGATATTCCGATTACAATTGTATCCATGATTTGATTAAACGATTAAACAAGAACGGTACGTTGGGTCCTTGCAATTGCAACTTTAGCTCGATTCATATAGACAAGTCCGTGAGGTCCGCTGGAAACTACATTGGTACAAATCGCTGTCATTCGGTATTGTGCATCGCTTCGCGAACAAGGAGAGTGGTGGCCTCGAGTATGGCGTCGGCCTCGTTCCGGAGATGTGCGTAGCAATGCCGCTGCCTCATACTCCGAATGGTTTGTGGTTACATCCTGGGTGGATATTGCCCACTCGACCGTTTGACTTGACAACGTTGTGCATGCAGGGAGTTCGACGGATCCCTCATCCGCCATGAGAAGTTTATCTTTCTGGACATCATTTGGCTGGCAAGAATCCTTAAACCATTGCTAAACCACAAGGATCAAGAGACCTTTGACGGCCTCGTAAGCCTTGGGGATACGGGTGACGCGCGCATCACACTCGACGATCCATCAGACATCGCTTCGTGGGGCCGACTCAAGAACCAGGGTGTGCTTGAACCGAGGTTGGCGTATGCCATCTGGCCTAACGGTCTGTCCGAGTACGTCCTCTCTACTCTTGCATTCTTGGGTCTCACTTTTCCGCTCGAAGACGATCCTGCTGAGGGGCTGGTGGTTCTGCTGAGGCTCAAGCTAGACCGCCCCGGGAGTGTGGGCCAATTGATCGACACCTTCTGCTCGGAGCACACCCCGGCACTCAGCGCCAATTGGAAGATATTCCTCGGTGTACCGCCTGGTGCGATTGAAAAGGTGCTGACGCGGTGCTGCGGTCTCGGTGGTGTACGAACGTTCTGGCGATATGGGGTTCTTGTTCACGGTGGCCTAGGGGATCTAGGTCGGCGCGAGATATTCGCTGTGGTCTTGGAATACTCTTCCACCGAAATGAGCTTGCTGCTCAGATTTTCGGCGATATCAGCACGCCGGCTCCATGGGTGGCGCTGTCATACGTCATGTCTGCAGTGAGCTTGATGCTGCTGGATTTCCCGGGACTGCGCTGGAGAGGCTCTTTGGCTTGTCCTCAGCATGGTGACACGATGCTATTGGCGAACAAGGCAAGTCCCGTCGCGTATTCTGCGGGCCATGGGTGAACCCCAATTGTGATCGGGTGACGCACACAAGTTAATGACACAATCGACTACATATGTGTCATCGATTGACTGTTTGGCTTGATTAGCTTCATGCAATCGACTGGGTATCTTGTAGCCCAAATTTCAGCGTGGTGCTTGTGTAACATGTGCTGTCTCGGTTTTGTCAACACGTTAAGAATACGTATTTGCTCTAGTTAGAGTTGATCCCTCTGAAAGCCCCCGAGTTGAAGTATATCGCTTTCCAGAACTGGGAGCAGTGCGCACTAGAACGAACTCACCGCGAGGCAATTGCGCCATTACATTTTGCTGGTGGTTTCTGAGGCAGGTGTCTTGGCCTTTGGGATATTTCGGGAAGGCGGTGATGGCGTTGGTACGGGCACATGATCGAGGGCTGAGTCGCCATTTCATCTATTGTTTGGTGTGTTTGGTGATACTTGTGTATTTCACGCCTGCCATTGCCTCGCTTCTACAATTCTTTCTTTAATTTTTCAATAATTTCAACATGACAAATTCTACACATGGACGGGATATCACTCGTCAGGCGACTCGCTCTGGAGACATGTTTATGGAGCGTAGTGCATGCCCAAAGTGCCGTCCGGAAACCAGGGGGCTCGGGGCGGCGGCCATCGACCTGGTGCGCATGGTCGACATCCGACTGGACCGACGTAAGCACGACCCATGGTGATGTTGGACTTCTGTACAGAGGGCGAGTGGGGCACAGCGTTGTGCAAATTTGTTTTATCATCTCTGAATCGTTCATGTTTGGCACCCCCGATGTGATGGCTGTGACTTGCGTGATTTCCTCACCCCTGCACGGAAACCTATTTCACAAATTTGGTTCTGCTGAGCACACCCCTGTGCGATAGCTCTCATTGTGTGATATTGAACGAAATTACATCGGCGATACTGGTATTTGTATGCATTCGCTGAATGCAATGTCTCCGATCTGCGCACCCGTAGTACGTTTGTACTGCTGCGCGAGGATCTGTGAGTGTTGCATCGCGAGCGAGCACAACACGCAAAACACACACAAACCAGAAAGCGCAGAAAATCGTACCTTGAATGTCGTGACGTGCGACAGAAGACCAGCAGGGTACTGTGAGGTGGTTGTGGCAGTTTCGGAACAACGAAGAGCGACGGACGAGTCGTCGGTCGTTAAAAAGCGATCAATTTTCCTTCTAGCTTTGGTATTGGTAAATCTTTGGTTCCGGCACGTGTACTTTGGTCGTGTGCTTATATGAGTGATCACCGTTCTTTCCACCGATGAAATGACAATATCTTGACATATTTCCATGTGTGCGCGGCCAACCTGCAATACATACTGTAGTGGGGGTCCCCATAACTAATCGCGAGACAACATACGGCGACGAAGCGTTGCAGTGCAATGAGCCCCTCGGGACCCACGCACGGTGGGTTGCCGTGAAGCGTACGGCTGACCCGCTGTTGGTTCTGTTTTGAAGCCATTGCAATCGTGTGGGCCAACTCTGACCCCTGTGCGAAAACTGAACATATTTATTTCAAGTTTTTTTTTTCCAGCTCTGTTCGATCGGTCCGACGTGTGAGCTCATTCATTTTTGTCCGGCAATGATGGCTATATTTCTGTCTTTACCGGCGAACCCTGCGTGTCCTGTGATTCGACCAAAAGGCGTACTGAACGGCCGCAAATATTTCTGGAATGGTCACAAACAAGGTCCTTGTTTCTATTGTGTTCTCGGGGCCCTGTTGGGTCACCATTGAGGTGATGTTGTGCGTACGACTGCGCTGTACGTTTCGAACACTCGGTGCGGGGAGTGCGGTTAATATCGTTGTGTTTAGTTGGATGTGGATAGACCCCAGCCCGGTTCGATTTCGACCGTTGACGTCACCTCTCGCTGGCTTCTCAAATTGCGATCATGAACGTCGTGCGAAGGCATCGAAACGTTAGGAGGTGCTGAGTATCTTGTACCACTCATGTTCGCTCAACAGACGTGATTTTCCACAAGGTGAAGGCGAGGTTCGACGTCGTGGAGGGTCAGTGCTCCTTCTCTCACCCGACGGTGAGAATGGGCTGCATATCCTCAGTTGGAGAGTCATGTGCATAGTAGAAAACCATGTAAACGATTTTGCCACAGCAATGTGTGTTCCCAAACTATTCTGTAGAGAAGATCATTTCGTAGTTCTTCTGTAGACAAACTTTGCCGGTTTCGTGTGCCGTAGGGGATGACCACCGGCCCATCAGTCTTTTGGACTGTCCCAGTAGCCTTTCGATCGTTCTGTGCATCGTCAGGCGTTGACATGATGGCACGGTGCTTGGATTTGGCGTGTTTAGTTCTGCAGTTGACATCTCAGGGCCTTCTAGCATAGGCGACGAACAGAAGCATGATTTTTTGCCTCGTCTTGCCTCGCTCTTGCGCTTCTACTCCCGCACGATAGTAGCATGATTCTCTCTGCACGGGTTAAGCAGAGCTACGTCACTATAGCACGGGTAGAACGGGCCTAACAGCGGAAAGGCATGCGACATGTATCCTATCGCACCCGTTCACAACGTGCTTTTCTGAGGGAAGAAGTGTTGCCTAGCCTAGTCCACAGTACCACTCCGTTCTGCCCGGATCATGGTGTCTTAACACTGTGGTTGAAATCAAACACAGGTGGTGTTGTTCGTTGTGAAAAGCGAAATTGTGTAGTTGGTCGAGTAATTTTGCTATGCCACTCCTTGTACCTTTCCCTGCCTCGTGAGCGTCACAGGGTAACTCGAAGGATGAGGACAAGTTGATTCAAAAGATCGACGACGTGGCCATAGCTATCAAGGGCGGGCTCAACGAGGTGAAAGTTGAGATGAAGGGAGGGTTTGGCGATGCCAAGGCCGCGGTTGACGAGCTCAAGGGAGGGTTTGGCGAGGTACAGGGCGAGATGAAGAGAGGGTTTGACGACACCAAAGCTGATTTCGACGACGTGAAGAACGAGTTGGTCGTGGTGAAGAGAACACTGGAAAAGGTGGCAGAGAGCACCCAGGAAAGCCTCATGCGCCTGAAGAACTTGCTGGACCCGAAGTACCTCTACCCTCGCCTCGTGGTCGTAAAGGAGGTTGGATCTGTTGGCACCTCGTCGAACGCTCATGGTGTCAAGAGATGGCTGAGCAAGATTCGTGGCGTGGGGAAGAAAGACATGACGCTGCACTTCTTGTGCCCGGTCGACATGACTACGGTGCCGTGCGGCTATGGTGGCGAAGGCAATCGGTTTCAGGAGACGCGTGGCTGGGTGAAGAAAATATCGCCGGTACTTCAGGTAGAACAAGGGTTTTGACACTTAGAGTAATTACGCTGTTTGGGGTTCTACGCTGGTGAGTCACCTCAACCTTTTAGCTGAAGTCGCACTTCGAAAGACGACTTTCCCGAGTGCAAAACATGACTCCATTTATGACTTTGAATATCGGGGCTGGATTGCTGAGGTGTGCCTTGAAACATTAGCATTGATGAACTGTGGTGAATTTCTTTCGTCAACCTTGTACTTGATGTGTGTGCTCTGTTCCCAGGTGGCGGTCGTGACCGCAAAGGTGGCGCTGAAGACAACGACAGGACTGGACATGGATATGTCGGATTTCCTGAAGGACGTGAAAGGTGGGCTGGTCGAGGAATTGGTCGACCGTACTCTGAACGAGGACGCGCTACTTCGCGTCATATCGGGCGAGGAGGATATCGGCGCGGACATGCAACAGGATACAAGGGCCTCGTTTGAAGCGGTGAAGAAATTCATGGACAAGGAGGAACTCAGCAGGCGTAAGACGGCCAGCGGTGATGATGGGTACATTGACTTCCGGGACGAAATGACGCGCGTAACCGACGGTAGGGGGGGCATGGAATGGGTCCGGAACAAAAACATTCAAACGTGGTTGAACTTGCATTCTATTGCTGCACCGACGAGCTAGATGCCGGGCTTTTAGGGGTGCGCAGCGTATCGTATGTACATGAAACTACCCTTGCCGTAGACGTAGCTGTTTCGTTCTGCAGACTCTTGTTGGAAGACAGGGTGCAGACAAGCACGCCGCCCGAAACAGCACGTGTTTGGACGTGCAACCGACAAGAGGGGGGGGGTGGTGTTGGGTTCGTAACAAAGGTGTTCAGTAAGGGGTTGGACTTGCATTCGGTTGCTGCACCGACGAGTTAGATGCCGGGCTTTTAGGGGTGTGTGCAGCGTATGAGCATGAAACCACCTTTGTTGTAGACATGACCTTTCTGATTTGCAGATTTTCTGCGGTAGACGTGGGGTACAGAAAAGCTTTTGGAAATCTGCAAGACGAACATTGCGCATGTGTTCCCGGCCGTACAACGGTGATCACGGAGAACATATGTTGTTTTTGTTTCTCTTGTGTTGTGTGGTTTGGTGGTACCGCCCTCTCGCGATCACCTGACCATCACGTATCCGCCCTAACTCGGCGGAGGGGGTGCGGTTGCCCACTCGCTGAGGGAGTCCGCTGCGGTTGTCGGAACTCGTATCACGTACACCCTTTCCTACAGCGAGTTGCACACGCCCTTTCACTCCCATTACTGGGAGCCGCGCGCACCGCAATCAGAGCAACAAGCCCCGAGGCAGCAGTTGTTGTTATTGTTGTTGTTGTTGTTGCTGTCTTCACATTAATAAACTCGTGCAAGGTGCTAATCCCAAAAATCTAGCAAAGACTCGGTCCGTGGTCACAAAAATGCTAGAGCCATCAGAAGATCTAAAGAACACGCACACTATTAGCAAGAAAATGGTACACAAGCTCGGGGCTGCAACTGCTATCTAAAGTGCTGTCAGAATGCGTCCGTGGACATACAATGAAGAAGAACAACCAACCAAGATCATCATTGCAATTGACGATCACCCGAATTTATCCAGATAATCTGTGTTAGACATAGCAGTGCAAACATCGACCCTGACTAGGAATCGTTCCATATTGAAGGGGTCTTTGGGGGTCTTCCACGATGCAGGTACACAATTAAGGAACTCGGGGTATCCGCGCCATCTCTGCCGCGTCTCTCTACAAAATCAGTGACGTCATCACACACACCCAACACCTATACAATTCAGGAAGAAAACAGTGATGTACGTTCCCCTTTACCGGTAATAAACAGGTTGTAGGCGGGTTGGTAAAGTCAATTTTTTGCGGTAAACCTCGCCGCCCCTCCTCCATCCCACTTGCGGGGCCCCCTCAGCCCTGGTCTTGCCAAAGGCGCAGCTGCTGCAGCTCTCCACACAGTTCCCTCCCGAGCTGTAGCAGGCCACCTACACTCGGACACACGTACACTGAAAGAACACCATTGGCTTCTTGGAGCGCGCTTTCGTGGACACCCGTGGTGGAGGAAGCTGCTGATGGTCTCGTTGACGGATTCTCTGGCTCGCAGATAGATACTTCTTTCTCTTTTCTATCCAGTAATTCTTCGGGGAGAAGGTGAGAAGAGGCCATGTACGGGAACGTGATAAAATTTGAAGAAAATTCAGTCTTCATCTTGAATTTTGATTTTTCCTTTTCTTCTATCTTGATAGATTGATAGTGCTGTCAAGATGTGGAATAATCGTAGACGAGGGGTGAGCCGCACCAGCAGCCCTCCATGCATCCTGCTCATCACCCGCCCACACACCAACTAACATACTATACATGTCTAACACACAACAACGCCCTGTTGCCATACATATTTGAAAGGCAAAAAGCTGTACTGTAGCATCACGTCAACACCGAGATATTTTCAGTATACTACTTGCTGTTTACTTAGGCCACCTTGTTCTCTATATCGAATACACGAAGGTGCCAGAACGCCAACAATGTGGGGTCACAGCGTCAAAGCATCAAAGTTACAGTGTTTTGGGGTGATGGTGTACCAGCGCTCCGAGTAGCACACAGCACCATGAACAAAACAACCTGGAAACCCCGGTGACAGTCGATTTTTGCCCCCGATTTTGGCGGAAATTACCGGTCGGTAAAGCCGATTGCTGGTTTCGGTGAATTACCGGTCGGTAAAGGGGTCTGACCCGGGTAATGTACATCACTGGAAAAAAACGCAGTTGTTGTTGTTGTTGTTGTCTTCACGTTAAAAACCGTTCCGATCTCTCCCTACCAAGTACCTTTGTATGTCCGTACTGATCCAACACTCGACGCGGTCGATTCCCGTGGTCACAGGTGAACTTACCCTACAAAGGTACACTCAAACAAACTGGCCCCTAGGGGTCCGCAAGTCAATAGAAATCAACGACAGATACTCTGGAGTCCTCCACTCCCTCTGCGCGCTATGCGAGGTATTAAGTGAGATTAGGAGTCACGGGCCGGAGAGAAAGAGGTACACCCCCTTGGTTCAATCTTGGTACTTCACATAGGGTGAAAATTGCTGACGTATTGAATCAGCATAGGTAGTACAGTGTTCAGCCTCCTATCTCATCCCATTCTATCTCACCGCCGGCTGAAGTTAGAACCCCGTCATGTTTCCTTGTTTATTTATCTCACATTTTCGCATTTTTGCTTTTCTCTCGCAATTCCCTCCGTTCCCTTTGCTTCCCGTCTTTTACAACAGATGTCCATCCTTCTTGACGCTATGTAGCGAGGCAGGCAACGCTACTCCGTCGATGGATTGGTTGAAATGACCGCCACGAACGACAGCTCCCGCTGCGAGGCAGGCGGCGCTTCTCTGCCGATAGATTGGTTGAAATGGTCCACGAACTACAGCTGCTGTAGCGGGGCAGGCTACGCTACTCCGGTGATGGACTGGTCGAAATAGAACCCGCAGACGAGATGCTGGAGGGCGGCCGGCTACACGACTCTGGTGATGGACTGGTTGAACTCCTCCCCGAACGACAGCTGCTGCAGCGAGGCAGGTCACGCTACCCCGATGATGGACTGGTTGAAATGGCCCACGAACGACAGCTGCTGCAGCGAGGCAGGCCACGCTACTCCGTCGATGGATTGGTTGAAATGGTCCACGAACTACAGTGGCTGTAGCGAGGCAGACTACGCTACTCCGTCGATGGACTGGTCGAAATAGAACCCGCAGACGAGATGCTGCAGGGCGGCCGGCTGCACGACTCTGGTGATGGACTGGTGGAAAGCTCTGGCCCAGTGGGAAGAGGCCATCCTCGAAGAAGGGAGCTACATCGACGGCATCGCAATCTTGGTGCTGGGGGAAGTGCTCGGGGATTTCAGATGTGAGGGTCGTCCACGAGGTCCCCGGCGTCGGTCTGGAGAACTATTTTGACCGGAATGATCCGGTGGAGGCGACCGGCCACGCCACGGTTCTGTGGTCTGGAGGAAAACACTTCGAAGCCATGGTCCCCATTGCCCCCGATGTTGGCACAAAGGAATCCGCGGGAAACGACCTGGGCTCGGCCATGGAGTTCTGCAGGGAGGCTCTCGGCCGTTACAGCAAGGACCCAGTGGACGAAGGTGCGCTGGCGGATGCCATGATCTCGTTCATCCGTCGTCACCCTCGCCGTACCGGAGCCGAAAAGAGGGCCCTCAAAACTCGCAGCTTTCGCAGGTGGACCCGCGGACGCAGGTCGTTCACGCGCGGTCGTGTCTCTCGCTTTCGCGACATATGTCGTGAGCTACGACGCATCAGGGGAGGCGGGGATTGTGACGAATTGGGGGTTGGGTCGGAAGCACACGACCGGTCAACGGAAACGACGGATGTCATGGAGATGTCGGAGGCTCCGGTGGCTCCGGTGGCTCCGGTGACTACGGTGGATGCGGAGACTCCGGTGGGCTGGGACGTCGTGAATGTGTCGGAGGATTCGGAGGCTTCGGATGCTTCGAATGCTTCGGATGCTTCGGATGCTTCGGATGCTACGGTGGCTCCGGTGGCCGTGGAGGAGACGGCGGCTTGGGTGGCTGCGGGGGAGACGGAGGCGTCTGCATCGAAGCCTGTGGGTCAGGTGAGTCGTATATGTTAGCCGTTTCGAACTCCTTATGCGTCGGCGTCGGTCAGTGTTTTGTCGCATGATTAAGACAAGATATTTGGGTATTGGCAACAGTAATTAAACCCACCCCATTCATCCCTCCCCCCTCGCACGAATCTCCCCCGAACTAAACAGTGTGGCGATGTCCGATGTGAAAAGGAAGCTGAATATGGTGTCTTGGGAGGCAGAGCAGAGTATTGTGGAGCGCATTACATCCTTGGCATGGTAGCCGTGACCCTGTCAAAGTCGAGGAGGAGGAAGCCGCCTTCCAAAATTCGCGACTCCGCCGTGGAAGAGGACAGTGAAGAAGCGGTGTCTCGTGAGCGCTATCGGTGGAGAACGAGAACGCGCCAAAGGCAAAGGGCAAGGGGAAGCAAACAGCGAGGAAAAGTGTTCCGGGGAGCACGTCGTCCCTCGGTGCTGAGAAGGTGAGAGATTTCGCAAATGATGTGGTTCGGAAAGTTTGCGCCAAACCCCACATGTCTTGCCTGATGGTGCGGAGACCGTGCATGTGCCTTCCTAACCTATCACACATCACTTTCGTTTGGACCATATAGGAGGGGAAAGCTGCCAACGTGGATGACAGTGGGTGTGCCGATGCTATCTCCACGGCCTCCACGGCGAGTGCCACGTCTTCCGCCGATTCCCGAGACGGGGACAAAGGTGAGGCGGGGATCAGGACGAAGCGGGCGCGCCCGCAAACTCTCCCGACTTGCGCTCCACCAGCCGGCGAGGGGAAAGAGGGTGAGACGAAGAGGCCTTATGCAAAGAGGACAGGAAATGGGCACAACGACATCGGGGACATACTGTGTGAGCCATGGGACGAAGAATCGCGCGAGTTTATGGAGAACAGCAGGGCGACACAAAAACTCTTCGAAAAGCCCCCCCCACTCAACTCTGCAACCGGCCACCAACACTACAACCTCCCACCCAAACCCACCCGTCTCGTGTTACGAATGCCGCGAATGTCTCGCAGAGAGTCTGGCCTATAGCTTGAATAGGATCCAACAGATGCGATGCTTCCGCCGGCTATAAAGCTAAACCGACCTAGTCGTCTTCAGCGAACCACCACTGCCACACAAACTTGTCATCCACACGATCATCACTTTCATCCTTCTCTACGAGTTCTTTGATCAGCTTCACAAAGCTTTTCTGCAAATTTCCTGGTTCCGTAGTATAACGACTCTGCTTGTACCAATCCGCTGGGTTGAACTCGTCCTTGTCGAATTTCTGTAGATACTGCGCCATGCCTTAATGGCCGTTGCGAAACCTAGGCGAATCCAAGTGTTTCAAGACGTCACCACTGCCCCTTGCTCTGGCGCGTGCGTGCGCGGTCTTGGTCGCATCCAGTAAGGCAAGCATTCCCTCGCGTGCTCCCTCCGGAAATACATGTTCCCATGGAAATGGTGCGGCGATGGGTCACGTAGGGTTCAAGAACGATCGGTGGATGGTTCGCGTTGTGAGTTGAATATAGAGTCTCGTGATCTACGCGCCTCGAAGTTCATGATTTCCAAGTCCCTCCATATCCTTCATCACAAACCTCACCTTTTTTACTTTAGTCTCGGGCTTGATATCCTGCTTAGCCAGGGTCTTTCGGTGCACGCCTGCGTCGTGGTCATCTGTAGATCCATCGGCCTGTGTGGGGGATGACAAGAAACAAAGGGTTAGCTTGTTGCAATACATCGTTGCGACACAAATTGTAGCGGATATGACTATGACTCTTTAGTTTTCTTACCTGGCTCTGAAGCGTGCCCACGGGCCTCACGTTCGGGTTCTCGTTCTTCTTCGACTCGCGCTCCCTCATCTGTAGCTCGAGCTCCCTCACTTGTAACTCGCGCTCCTTTAGCTGTAGCTTGCACCACCTCAACTGCAGCTGAAGATCACTGTTGTCTTCCTCTGTTTTCTCGATCGCGCACACCACCCCTTTTCCTTTCTCGTGCTTCTCCATTTCAAGTCGGCGCTTCTCCGACCCCTCCACCACGCCATATGCCCCCCCGCTGAAGTCAATTGTGCCCTCGTAGCCTCTCTGGACTCGTCTACTTTGCCTTATCGTAGCCCGGTGAGCATCGTAGTGCTTCTGCATCGTCTGCGTTTTTAACACGTTGGCAATATGGAAAGAACGAGTTGAAACGTCTGTCACGTAAACAAATGGTAAAGAGGACACACCTATTTTGATACAAGCAAAGACTACGGAGTCAAATGTACATTCCTTTACAGACGACAGGATGCTGGAAGCAAAGTCCTTGATGATTGGATCGTCCATCCGTATCCCCAACGCTGTGCACTCGGCCATCACGAGGGTCACAACTACCGTCCGCATGGAAGTCACGCTCATGTTTTCAGAGCTCAGATAGGCTTGCCCGATCTTCTTCAATATTCCCTTGAACCTCTCCGGTTTCATATCGTTTCCTTTCTTATCCATCGGACCGATGAATTGCGAGGCGATGCTGTTGTCACCAGAGAAGCTCCTGTGGAACGCACGTCCGACGACATTCGGTATAGCGTACCAATCCCCGGTATCGACGTCGATCACATGTTCTTGAGCTGCGCCATCACCACTCCCATTCCCATGCTTGCTGACCTTGCTCTTTCCCGGAAGTCGGGCAACCACCCTACCGGGGTTCTTCGACTCGTTCTGACCATTGACATGTAAGTGCGTCGCGCGACGGTAGTAAAAACCTTGGTTCCGAAGTGGATACGATGTGAACACGTCACGCACGGATGCACACACGCTCGCTAGCTCAAAGTGCTTGCGAGTAACACCCTTTTCCTTCAAAGCTTCCACCATTTTCATGACCAGAAGCCTTTGTTTCGCATTGCCCTCCAGTTGTTCAACCGTGACGACGGCCTTCTTTTTGGTATTCGTGGCAGGAAATTCCGCGGCCCTCAGGATATCGTAACACCACCCGCCTTTGCCAGCACACGTCGCGTCGATTTCGGCGATTGCATCCATCAGGGGCTTCATCCCATTGACGTACAGTCCCTTGAAGAGAAGCTTCAACGCGCGCAGGTTGTGTTCGTTCGAAAACGTCACAAGCGGCACCCTCCCCTTCTTCGTCTTTGTCGCAACGCCAGTCAACCCGCTGATCTTCCCCTCAAGAGCGCCCGCCTGAAGCCTCTTGTCGTGCAGAAGGTATTTTATCTGGGCATACATCCTCTCTATTGCGGCATCAGTCTGACCGCCGCCCCCTTGGTTGTCCACGGCGTTTTGGTCCATGACAATTTTTAGGACATCGAATGCCTTTGCAACCTTGGAAAACGTGTCCACATAGCTGCTAGTATCGAGCTTCGTTCCGTACTTGTCAGGGTCCCTCGAAAGTACCCCAATCATAGTCGGTGGCATGACAGGAAGAACCTCGTTACTGCTTTCCAGCGAGAAGCGCATCGCAAACGTCTTGTCACCCGAGAAGTTGGTGGAAACCAGTGAAATGGTGTAGTCATCTTGGTCGTCTTCGTTGTCATCCCAGCAGCCGAAATGCTCGCGAAGAACTTCGCGCTCGGCAGCGCACAACGGGTGGTAGCCCTCGTGTAAGCTGATCGGGCGATTTAGTCGGTAGGTGTACTGAAGAAGGTGTACGACGTGGTTGATGTGTGAAGGGTAAGCACCGTGCACCGACTCTCCCTTTCTCGCTACCATTCTGACCATCAGCTTTTTGTCATTGTCGTCCACCAAGGCAGCACTGATATTGTCAGCACCACCAAGCCCCCCCAGAAAGTTGAGCTTGCTGAGCGACCCTTCGCTGCTGGCGAAGGCGCGCAAGGCGGTGGCCTCCTCGTGTCCGGCGTCTCCCTCTTCCGTGGCTTTCACCGGTAGCGTGTGCACAGTGTCCTCCACCGATGCATTGGCGAAGACCAGAATCGACAACCTCCGCATATTAGCGATACCTTCGAGCTCGGTCTTTTCGTCTCTACTAAGATCTCGGTTGGACCAGTCTTCCAGCATACCGCCCGTTCCAACACTCGACTCCTTTTCTGGTGACCTGTCCCCGCAGATACTGTATGAACGAAGTCCATACTACGGTGTGCATGGCGATTAGCGACAATATGTACTTCCGAAGGTCCTTGTCCAGTGTCACCAATTCATTGCCGTTTTCGTCGTCATTGACGCAACGACACTCCAAGAGCTGCCACTGATCGATCGTGGTGTCGCAGCCGGTGAGACTGTACACACCCTATTCGACCGATCGCACTGTGTACACCGCTCCGCTGATTTTCACCCGGGTTTTGTCCAGCTCCACCCCAATGTCTGTCGGGTTGTACTTTGCGTTTTTACAGTACCATTCCCTGAGACTTTTAAGCTTCGCCTTTTTGAAGTAAACCTTTCCCGGAACAACCATAACTGGTCATCCTCCTCGGCCAACCCCTCCACAAGGGTGCTCACCAGTTTCGAGAACGTCATGGTTTCATATCTGCTTGATGTTGCTTTGTCGAACGTTTCCTCGTACTTTTTAACTTGTTCCGCGGCTGCACTACCCGGGTTTTGTCTAGCTCCACCCCAATGTCTGTCGGGTTGTACTTTGCGTTTTTACAGTACCATTCCCTGACACTTTTAAGCTTCACCTTTTTGAAGTAAACCTTTCCCGGAACAACCATAAACTGGTCATCCTCCTCGGCCAACCCCTCTACAAGGGTGCTCACCAGTTTCGAGAACGTCATGGTTTCATATCTGCTTGATGTTGCTTTGTCGAATGTGTCCTGGTACTTTTTAACTTGTTCCGCGGCTGCACTCCTTTTGTAGAAGGGGCCGTTCCCCACGACTACAGGAAGGGTGCCGATCGTCAGGTTTGGGGCACGGTTTCAGTGGCATCTTAACCGAAGGCGTCGATTTGTCACAACAGCACGTCGTGCTGGTGAGCCGGCAGTAGCATCCGTACACGAGAAAGCCACCGAGTACATTCGAGCAAACATCCAGCGGAGTGACACATCCTTCGGTGCGCAAATCGAACTCATAGCCGAAATCAGACATAAGTTATAACAACTCATGACGTTGTTGCAACGCTTGCGCTTGAGCGAAATCTCCTTTTCTTCGATATCCTGACGCTTACGTTTTAGACACTGCTCGACCATTTGTTTGGCGAACTGCTTGCGATCTTCACCAGACCGAAACCTCAATCCGGTTGGCGTGTCATCAAGACCCGCGGTCGCGGCCTTGTTCGATTCTTGGTCGACGTCGATCTTGGTGTCCATGGCGTTGTACTGTTGTATGTGGTTTCTTGAAGGTAGGTTGTTTGGCTTTTGAAGACGGCGATGATCAGTTGTGAACGACGGACACGAGCTTTGTAATCTGCATGTTTTGCGTAAACACAGGCGAAACGCTCCAGAAAAGTTGATTGGTTGAACGCAAAGTATCCTTACTTCCCCTAGTAGGGCTACAATCTCCCGAAGCGCGTATACCCTAACCCTAGTATCATCACAAGTTACCATCCCAATCACGGCCTGTTTCATCATGTACTTGTCCTCACGAGCCATAGCCATCGCCTCCCTCGTCTGCGGTTCTTTTTCACGCGCGACAAGCTCCGCGCGGACGGCTCGAACGCGGCGGTGATGACGTTAGCAAGGATACCGCTTCCTCTCCGACTTTCCGAATCAACGCGTACGCGGCTTTCAACTCTTGCGTGCATGACCGTATACATCCCGGTGACAGGATGATCTCGTGGATCTCGTCAGAGAGATCTGCGTTGGAGCGGACGATGGCCACCGCGGCGACGCTGCCCTCCGCGGACACTTTCGACACGTACTTCTTCGCGCTCTTCGGTACCGTGCACATCCACAGTGATGTTCACGATGGCCTCGATCGACGTCCTCCTTTGTTCATTCACGCCCATCTGTTTCTTCTGTCGCGCGTTTCTCTGATCCGCCGCCGCTCATTTGCGCCTGCCTTGTTCAGCGCGCTTCTCTTGGCGAACTCTCTCCATCCAAGCGTTGACCTCGTTGGCGTGATCCGTTCTAGAGAGCGAATGTCATGTTTCTCGGGATGGCACCGAGGATAGGTTTGGGCATTTCTGTCCCGTAAGTGGGTTGACCGTGTTTCGAGTTGTAAGCCTCCGTGACGTTGACCGGTATCGTCGACCGCATGAGAGGCACGAGCTCATCAGGTGTCCCGGTCCGGATGCACCGCAAATTGACCTCGAGGCCCTTGGTGCAGTCCGGGTGCGCCAGGGTTCCCGAGGGCCCTCGAGTTCCCCCTTTGCAACTATTTCCACAAACGATGCACTTGGCGCTCGACAATGGCCTTCAGGTGTCAGATACCCGGGTTCTGCGGGAGGTTGCAGAGGGTTTCTCTCTGGAATTTGGTCATGTTTTTCTTGACGCTTTCGATAGCGGCCGGGATGTTGGCGTAGACGACGCTTTTGGAGCGTCGGAAAGCTCCCGCGATCGACGCCTGGACTTCGCATCGGGCAAGAAGGCAGTCACGAGATCGATATCTACGTCGGCGAGCATTATTGTTTTTGAGACCAGGCAGAATGTGCGCGCGCGTTCCTGGTATTCGTTCGTCGTTTCCGGATTCGAATGATCAATGATGATGTTTCCAATTTGAAATGTTGTATTTTGCGACGGCTCCCCTCGCTTCTCCGCAAATTGTTTCAGGGAGCGTGATGGAGCCGGTAGTAGAGGATCCCACGGCGGCAACGAACCGGTGGTACCGCACGTGCCTCTCCCCTATCACGGTCTCAAAAACAGAGAATTTACTTTACCCGCGCCGGGGCACATTGGCCCCACGCGTGTCGGCCGGCGCCCGTTCGTATGTTAACACAAGTTTTCACGGCGTCTACGCGAGATGGACGCTGCGGGAAAGAGCGCGAACGACGGAGGATGAGGGAAGAGCAGTTGCTGGGAGAAAAAAACAGCAGAGTTTACCAGTGTGGTAACAAGCCGGCGGCAACAAAATATGCCGCGTTTGTTGGCCGAAAACTGGTTGTAAGAGACATAAAGCGAACAGAAACGTTTTCGCGAGGAAATGAGGATGGGCACACGTTTAAGCTCTTGCGTATCGAGCGCAACGTCTTTTGTATCACACGAGGTTGCGCAGAGGCGACGATTACGCCACCACGCTCTTCTATTTTTTCGGGCAGGCCAAGCGCCAAGGTTGCTTCATTGGCGGCAACACAACCGAGCCCCTACCGTGCCTCCCCGACACCCGTCCCGCGCTCGTTGACAACCGGCGCCGCCTCTACCGCGCCTCCCAAAAGTGGGAGTGCAAAAATGCGATTGATAAAAAAAGTTTCCACCGCGACCACATCCGCGCAAAACAGGCCCTGAGAACCTGCCTCAAATCACAGGGGCCGTTCACGTGCCTCGAACGTACCTGTGACTTGGTGTTGAGGCAAGACACCGTCAACGTGTTCCATTTCGCACACCGCCAGCTGATGAAAAGCAAGCAACCGCGTGCCATACAAAAGAACATGATATAAATTCTCTAGCCGCACGTACGTGCGCACTCCGGACTCTGAGTATACTGAGCCGTGCGTGACGACATGCCATCTGCACCTCTCCCCCCTCCCCCCATCATAATCGTCCCCACGCCCTTCCGCTCTCTGTCAACCCCCCCACCCAACAGCTCTCCGCCAAAGTGCTCCAGCCAGCTGCTTTCGCTAATAGCGCTCCCGAATAGTACCTGGGAACAAAACAGGGCAGGGTGGTGTGGTGCGAATCGCCCGCGTCAAAAAATACAAAAATACCACGGCCATTGACTAGAACGCCACGAAACATGATGAACAGTCAAGGTCGCAAGGCGAACCAGAGAACAGAAATGAAGTACACCCTTACCGCTGATCTTTCGCACCCCTGCTGCCGTCTGGCTAGCATGTCAGGCCCGCCGCTGGATGCTGGCACCGCCGTCCTCCGTCGTGGTCCTGCAAGCGCTGGTGCACCGGTGGTATAACGCGCCTCGCGCGACTGTGGATTGGTGGTCGAAACACCTGAAGGGCCAACGAAGTAAAGAATCGATCGCGCATCAAGCAACTGCTGTCTTCGTCCTTGGTTGTCACCATTTGGTTGTCACGACACATACCGTACGCAGAAGCTGTTGGAAGGTGCGGCGGCGCACAGGGGGTACGATCACCGGAAAGTGATAAGAGGAGCGGGAGGGGTTTTTTGCGAGTATAAGGCTTTTATCATTTAGGGTAGAGCGTCAGCACCAGCACCAGCAGCGTGCAACACTGGACAGCACCATCAAAGGCAAACCGCATTCGAAACATTTACAGCCACTCCCGACGAGAAACAAGATGTTTGGATGAACAGGTCAGTGCAACATGATCATTTTGTTGCTTCGAGAGAGCGCAGAACGGGCACAAATGGCTCAACACGGTCTCCATCCGTGCCCGCAGCGTCCAATCGCTCTCAAACGCCGCTGACGCGGTTCTTCTATTGCGGGGATTATGTCGTCGGCCGCAAAGTAACATCGAGCAGAAACCAAAACGGTTAAAGAAACTACGGCGGTGTTGATGTTTTGATTGTTTGTTGTTTTTCAAGGCCATCTCTGCTTAGTGTCTGTACATAAACCCAAAAAACTGCACAGACAATTTCGACAAAAATCACCCCACCCCACACCACCCCGCAGTACACACACATCACATTCAACGGGCGGATCACGGGGAGGGGTTGAGGGTTGAGCAGGGCGGTGGGCTTTTCCTTTGGACGAGATAGCCGAACTACGCTCTTGTTCGTCGGTCTCTGCAGGGTCAGTGCGACAGCAATGGCCTGCGTGGTGCTCTTCTCCCCGTCACGCGTACGCCTTCTGTATACGATGCAGATCCGACTCCAACGGATTCTCACCTTGACTTCCGGTTTGCTTCTCCGGTGCGCCACCGGGAGAATCCTCCGACCGAGCGTTCTTGAAGTTCGCATCTGGTGAATCGAAGGGGGAGGTCACAACACATCAGCTCCGGGCGAGCGTAGCTCGTAGACAAACGACGTTTCGCGCGACCTTCAGGCTTGGCACTG